CCGGCTATTTTTTGGTTGCAGCCGTCATTGTTGTTTGGCGAGTCCAGGCTGGGGATTCGAACCCGCCACCTTAGGTGTACGTGGCTGGTGCCTTAGCCGGTTGAGCTATAGGCGCCGAGCCAAGATTATTCTTTCCAATTGAATTATTTGACATTTCTATGAAAATTAATTTACTATATTTACTATATTATAAGGATTCAAGACATTCTTTGAAAAAACTCCTTTGATCACTAAAAGATTTCCACTTAATTTATGGGAAATAGCACATGAGCAGTTTTTTTTGTTTTGTTTTCTTTTGTTAGGTAACTGTCCAATTCTTGAATTTTTTTCCCTTTTGTTTCAAAGAAGGTAATATGCCATGGCTGGGGATGGTGGCTCACACCTGTAATCCTGGCACTCTGGGAGCCCAAGGTGAATCACCTGGGCTCACAAGTTCAAGACCAGCCTAAGCAAAAATGAGACCCTGTCTGTACTAAAAATAGAAAAACAAGCTGGACAACAGTAACTATAGTCCCAGTTACTCAGGAGGCTGAGGCAAGAGGATTGCTCCAGCCCAAGAGTTTGAGGTTGCTGTGAACTATGATGCCATAGCACTCTACAAAAAAAAGGTAATATGGCATGAACAAGTGGGTTGTATTCCAGTATTGCAAGATTGGTTTAATATTGGAAATTATTAGTCACCATAATATTGAATATAAGGAATGATGACATTATTATTTCTCGAATGCTGAAAAGAAGTCTTTTATAAAATTCAACACTCATTCTTGATAAAAGCACTTAGAAAATAGGAATTGAAGGATATTTTCTTAACATGACAAAACATACATACAGGATCAGGCAATTAAATTTGCAAACTCGGGCAGCATCTATGGCTCAAGGAGTAGGGCGCTGGCCCCATATACCAGGGGTGGTGGGTTCAAGCCCAGCCTCAGCCAAAAAACTGCAAAGAAAAAAAAAATTTGCAAACTCATCCTAGAAAAAATGCTGTGTTCCTATTTCTGAATATCACTGCAGTCACCTTTCATATACTCCCCTTAGGAAGCTATGCACTGATGCCAGAGCCTAGTCCATCCTTCAAAGTACCTTTTTGAGGATGAGTTAACGAACTTAATTGTCGAACCTTGTAGTACAACAGCTCTTATTCCAGAAAAAGAGTTCCAAAATTGCTTTGCAGGATGAACTAGGTGCTGGTGTCAGTGCATAGCTTCCCAAGGGGAGTACTTTTAAGGTGACCATAGTGATATTTAGTAATGAGGTATGTAGCACTTTTTCTAGCATGCGTTCTTTTTTTTTTTTCCCTTGAGCCAGAGTCTCACTATGTCGCCGTTGGTAGAGTGCTGTAGCATCACTGCTCACAGCAACCTCAAACCTTGGGCTTAAGCGATTCTCTTGCCTCAGCCTCCCAAGTAGCTGGGACTACAGGCACTTGCCACAACACCCCACTATTTTTTTGTTGTAGTTATCATTGTTGTTTTAGCAGGCCTGGTGGGGTTTGAACCCGGCAGCTCTGGTGTATGTGGCTGGAGACCTAACCGCTGAGCAACAGGCATCAAGCCAAGCATGAGTTCTTGAACTTAATTGTCTGTTTTTAAGAGTCTTACTCTGTTACCCTGGGGTAGAGTGTCATGCCAGCAGCCTAGTTCACTAAAACTCCTGTGTTCAAGCAGTTCTGTGCCCAGCCTCTTTTTTATAACTATTATCTTAAAATAATTACAGATTTACATGAGGTTACAAAGTAATACATAATATGCATTCTTTTTTTTTTTTTTTTTTTTTTTTTTTTTGGAGATGGAGCCTCAAGCTTTCCCCCTTGGGAGAGTGCCATGGCATCACGCTCACAGCAACCTCCAACTCCTGGGCTCAAGCAAGTCTCCTGCCTCAGCCTCCCAAGTAGCTGGGACTACAGGCGCCCGCCACAACGCCTGGCCATTTTTTGGTTGCAGCCATCATTGTTGTTTGGCTGGCCTGGGCTGGGGATTCGAACCCGCTACCTTAGGTGTATGTGGCTGGCGCCTTAGCCGCTTGAGCCACAGGCGCCGAGCCCATAATATGCATTCTTAACCTCCCCCCCAGTCTAACCCCAGTACAATTTATTAAAATCACGAAAGTGACAATAGGCCAGGTGGTGGCTCACACCTATAATCCTAGCACTCTGGGAGGCCAAGGCAGGAGGATCACTTGAACTCAGGAGTTTGAGATGCAGTGTGAGCAAAGCAAGACCCTGTCTCTACTAAAATAAGCTGACTGTGTAGCACATACCTATAGTCTGAGCTACTTGGGAGTCTGATGGAAGAGGATCTCTTGAACTCAAGAGTTTGGGGTTACTGTGAGCTAGGTAGGTGGATGCCATGGAACTCTAGCCTGGCAACAGAGTGAGTCTCTGTCTCCAAAAAAAAGACAGTGGCAATCACACTATAGAGCTGATTCAGATTTCCCCAGTTATTTGTGCACACTGCCTGTGTGTGTAGCTCTATGCAGATTTCCTTTTTTTTTTGGAGACAGGGTTTCACTTTATCACCCTGGGTAGACTGCCATGAGGTGATAGCTCACAGCAACCTCAAACTCTTGGGCTCAAGCAGTCATCTTGCCTCAGCCTTCTGAGTAGCTGAGACTACAGGTGCCCACCACAATGCCCAGCTAGTTTATCTATTTTTAGTAGAGGCAGAGTCGTGATCTTGTTCAGGTTGGCCTCAAATTCTTGAGTCCAAGCAATCTACCCACCTTGGCTTCTGAGAGTGCTAGGATTACAGGTATGAGCCACTGTGCCCAGCCACTCTATGAAGTCTTGTCTTGGTACAGTGTTGCACAGCCACCACTGCAATCAAAATGTTCAACTGATCAGACGTAGGCTGTCTTGTGGAAAATAGTAGGGAAAAAAGAAGAAAGAATGTGATACTCAATTGTACTGGTACCACAAGACATCTTTCTGGTACCTCTTTATGGCCATATGCTTCTTTCCCCCCACATCACCTGGTCACTAGTAACCTGATCTCCATCTCTGTAATTATGTTATTCACAAATGGTTCATAAATAAGAAGCATACAGTATTTATTTTTTTGAGATTGGCTTTTTTCACTCAGCATAATTTCTATGAGATCATCCAAGCTGTTGCATGTATCAGTAGTTCATTGCTGTGTATAATTCCATGGTATGGATATACCACTTTGTTTAATTAGTTCACCCACTGAAGGACATTTGGATAGTATCCAGTTTGGGGCCATTATAAACAAAACTGCTATGAACTTTTTTTTTTTTTTTTGAGACAGAGCCTAAAGCTATACCCCTGGGTAGAGTGCTGTCGGCATCACAGCTCACAGCAACATCCAACAACTGGGCTCACGCGAGTCTCCTGCCTTAGCCTCCCAAGTAGCTGGAACCACAGGAGCCCACCACAATGCCCGGCTATTTTTTGATTGCAGCCATCATTGTTGTTTTGGCGGGCCCAGGCTGGATTCGAACCCCTGCCACCTTAGGTGTATGTGGCTGGAGCTTTAGCCACTTGAGCCACAGGCGTCAAGCCTGCTATGAACTTTTGTTTAGAACTTCCTACATGAAAATAAGTCTTGAGTGTAATTATTGGGTTGTATGATAATACCCTTTTAGGTTTTGAAAAGGATTATCATAGGATTTTCCAGAGCAGTTGTGTCATTTTACATTTCTACTATATTTTTCTTATTACTGGAAATAAGTGGGAGGTAGCATGTTATTTCACCCTTAATATTTGCATGGACATGCATTTTTTAAAGAATATTTGCATTCTATATAGCTACAATTATATTATTCCACCTAGGGAAGGTAATTACGTATTTTATCTAGTCCATATTGCATTTGTTTTTTGTTTTGTTTGTTCAGTTGTTTTTTTTTTTGGAAACAAAGTTTCACTATGTCACCTTTGGTAGAGTGCCATGGTGTCATAGCTCACAGCAACCTCAAACTCTTGGGCTTACGTGATTCTCTTGCCTCAGCCTCCCAAAGTGCTGGGACTATAGGCTCCCACCACAATGCCCAGCTATTTTTGTTGTTGTAGTTGTCATTGTTGTTCAGCAGGTTCGGGCTGAGTTCTAACCTGCCAGTCTCAGTGTATGTGGCCAGTGTCCTAACCTCTGAGCTACAGGCACCAAGCCATAGTCCATATTGCATTTGGACTTGTCTGTTGTTCCACATATATCTTTTATAGTTCTTTTACCTCTTTATACCAGAATCTACTTTATCGTTATGCCTTACATTTGAACATTATATCTTTTAGTCTCTGTTAATTTAAAACAATACCTTTTTTTCATGGTAATTTTTGTAGCCTGGTTGTCTTATAAAATGTCCCATGTTATAGATCTGTCTGTTTCCTAATTGTGCCATCTGATTTTTTTCTCTATTCCTTTATATTTGTATAAAGTGGAAGTTAGTTCTAGAGGCTTGATTAAATCCAAGATAATTATTTTTGGCAAAAATACTTCCTAGATAACAGTAAATATTTTGTATTACATCCCATCAGATGGAACTTAGTATAAGTGATGCCAAGTTGATCCATTAGTTAAGGTGTGACCACCAACTTTCTCTATTGGTAAAGTACTTTTTCACCTTTGCAATAGCTAATCTATGTATATGGTTTGTTTTGGTATTTAGGACTATTTCTTTAGGAGAGATTCCAAAAAACATATGTAGTGGATCAAAGATTACCAACATATGACTTTGTTTTGTTTTGTTTTGAGACAGAGTCTCACTATGTTACCCTTGGTAGATTGCCATGGTGTCACAGCTCACAGCAACCTCAAACTCTTGGGCTTCAGCAGTTCTCTTGCCTCAGCCTCCCAAGTAGCTGAGACTACAGGTGCCTGCCACAATGCCTGGCTATTTTTTGCTTGCAGTTGTCATTGTTCTTTAGCAGGCCCAGGCTGGGCTCGAAACTGCTAGCCTCAGTGTATGTGGCTGGTGCCCTACTCTCTGAGCTATGAGCACTCAACTCTGTTGCCCAGGATAGAGTGCCATGGCATCAGCCCAGCTCACAATAACATTCATACTCTGGGGTTCAAGAGATCCTCTTTCCTCAGCCTCCTGAGCAGCTGGACTACAAGTGCCTGCTACCACTCCTGGCTAGTATTTTTCTATTTTTAGTAGAGATGGGGTCTTGCTCTTACTCAAGCTGGTCTTGAATTACTGAGCTCAAGGGATCTACCTGCCTGAGTCTCTCAGAGTGCTAGGATTATAGGCATGAGCCACCACACCTGATCCAACACATGACTTTTTTGATATTTATATACATTGCCCATTTGCTTTTTTAAAGCCTGTACCTAGAGTAGAGTGTAAGTATTAATTTCATTGTATCAGAGCAAGCATTATTGCTGCCTGGGTGGGATGGCTCTTTTAGTTTGACAGGAGAATATGGTATGTCCTTTTTAAAAAACTCATACTTTTGGATTACTTTTCATTGCTTACCTTGTTTGTCAGTCATTTGTATAGCTTCTTTTGTGAGTTATGTCCTTTAACTATTTACCTATTTGATAACAGAATAACTTTTGATTTGAGGTCTTTATGTAATAATAATAGCTTTGTTATATTTGTTTTCTATTTGTGTATCTTTTGTACGTTAGGTATGGATTATTTAGGGATTTAGGGGGTTTTGGTGTATAAAAATTTAGACGTTCTTCCTCATGTCAGTCTCTCTTTTCTTTGCAACTTAAGTTAGAAAGGTACTCACATCAAAGAGTTTTGGTAAATGTTCACTTCTCTTTTCTTGTGACTTAAAATATTGAACTCGGCTCAGCGCCTGTGGCTCAAGTGGCTAAGGCGCCAGCCATATACACCTAAGGTGGCGGGTTC